TCATAGCTGTTTTTTTTACATAATAGCAAAAAAGTGACAACAACCTAAATGTTCTACTGATTATGTATAAATACAATGTGGTAAATTCTAACAGTGAAATATTATTCAACCATAAAGGAATGAAGTATTGATAACAGCCTGCAAAATGGATGACTGCTGAAAACATTATGTTGTGTGAGAGAAACCATACATAAACGGCCGCAAGTTATATGATTCTTTGATTATGAAATGTCCCAAACTGAAAAGTCCATAGAGATAGAAAGTAGATTGATTGTTGTGAGGGCTAGGGAGAAGGGGAAGTGAAGAGTGATTGCTCTTCCTGTACAGGTTTTGTTGTTGTTGTTGTTAGGATGACAGAAATGTTCTGGAATTTGATAATGGTGATGGGTGAGCAAATCTGTGAATATACTCAAAAGTATAAACTCTCTATGTTAAAACTGAATTTTATGCTATGTGAATTTTATCAATTCAAAAACTAAAAAGTGCAAAAACAAAGCCCTTACTATATATTTAACACACAACATGGTGTCTGGCATTAAGCAAATCTTAATAAATAACACTATATTATTCTTTATCAATTTTTCCTAAAAGAACTTAATTGCAGTATGTTTATTGAACTAACATCTTATTCAATTTTATATAATATAAAATGTGGTGAGAAAAAAAGGGATGATATATAGAAATGTGCCTCAAAGACATAAATGCTGAAATAAAAACTCAGCATATTGAGCAAACTGTGCTCTTAATTAGTTTAATCCTCTAGGTAGATGCTTTGCTCCCTTCTGTCACAGACTTAATATGAACATAATTTTATATACTATTTTATGCAGCAGAATGAGCCTTCTTCATTTATTGATAGCTATGAAATATTTTTTTGGTCACATAATCATCTTAGCAACCAAAAAACTCATGTGACTTCCTTGTAAAATCATACAAGGATTTTTTTTTTCCCATACAAATTAAGGAGATGGGCATTATGCGGGTCAAAGAAAATATTTTTCCTTTTTATTTAATATTTTACAATTTTACCTTAGACTCAAGCTCCTTGTCACTTGAATGTATGCTATGGAATTACATAGGCAATTTTACAATCCCACTGTGTACCACAGAGTAGGTACTGATTCACTGTGGGAAATGATATAGGACATTCTAGTTTCTGAACAAATAGAAAATTCGCTCAGGCAGCTGTTGGTTTACAGTCAAAACCAATCTTGGTGATTACACCAAAGGGAGAGTCATTGTATGTGCTTGAAAAATTAACATAAAAAACCCACACACAATTAGAAAACCTGAAGTCAATTGCAGATTCCTGAGGGAGACAAAATTCAAGGAACTGCCTTGAGGGTACATCTTGAAGGAAATCTTGATTTGTACTATTTTTTTTTGTACGTGCCCCTAGCAGAACCGAACCCAGGACTCTGTGGTCCACAGGCTGAAGGTCCAGCCCCTGAGCCAAACCGGCCAGAGCGATTTGTGCTCTTTTACTACCACATATTGTTCTTTTCAGAAGAGTTACTGTGTCTTCTCCACTGCTAGGCAGTGATACAGCAGAGCCTCTTCAGAGCTTGCCATTGGTTAGATAACATCCAGTTACCATCAGAACCCAGCTTGGATGTGGAACTACTAACAGCAGAAGCAAAGAGACTTGCTTTGCCCAGCACATTCCCTTCCCACCTCAGCTCCCAGCCCTAAGGTAAGGCCATCAGAGATAAGAATGAAATGCTCAAGGGAATTTATGAGGAAATGCAGGTAAATAGATGTGTCCCTGAGGGCTACATGTTAAGAATAACAGCAGATAGGTTAGGTAAAGTTAGTTTGCCGGATAAGAGCTTTAAGCCCACTTTTAATTCTCTATCCACTCTTGAATGCTTTAGCCTTTTATTGAATAAGTCCAAGTATCTTATATGTTCACGTGTGCACAGTTAAAATTTACATATTTTAGTGGTTATAACGACTTTTAAATAGAATTAGAAGAGGAGAAAGAAAAGGAAGAAGAAGAAATGGAGAAAGATGAGGAAGAGGAGGAAGAAGGAAAAAAGGAAGAGAAAAAACAAAGAGGAGAAGAAAAAGGCTGACTAACAGGAGAAAGATAAAGAGAGAGAGCACTTGGAGGGATTGGGGGGAAAAGAGGAAGAAGATAATCACTTATAATAATTAAAATAAGGAGGCAGACAGGAATTTGAAAAAGGCATAATACATTGTATCACAAAGACATGGTAAATTATTGATATCATTAAAAAGAAGAAAGAAATTGTAATGTATTTCCAAGTAGAAATAGTGAGACTGTGACAACAAATTGAGATCAATGCACGGGATTCATGTCACGATGCACACAGATTGAGAACAATTTGAAGGGCTGGAGATTAAATTCATTCATGAAATAAATAATCAATTAAAGAGATATGCCACATTAAATAAGAAATATCAACATCTATGTAACAGAAGTCCCTGGAAGAGACAGGTAGATCAAAGATTGATATATTATATTGAAGGAACAGGAATCTTAGACCAAGGATGCTGGTTGCATTTGAGGGTGATTATATAATGCTGAATTTCCTGAGATGCAATTGATCATAAAGGAAACTGGTTAATCAGAGAACACAGATGTATCTTGCGCTACTATCAATCTTGTTTCAACTGATTGGACCTGGATTGGCATCCAAGTCAATGGCAGTTGTTTATGTAGTGGGCACTGCTAGTGATCTATGAGGCACTCTGAAATGAGAATTGTGCCCAGAAATGATGCCTTATGCTATGATATTGCCTACTAACTCAATCAGGTTAGACCTTGGGGAATTCTACAGTAGAGAAATTTTTAAAAACTGATTGAAAACAAAAACCACTAGGAAGTAAAACACAGAAGAACCTGATGGCATGCCCTGTGGAGGAGAGGTGATCCACTTGATAACAGAAGTAAAGCCAAACAAGACATGCAAAATAGAAGAGGTTTAGTCATGAACACAGTCAACTACAAGAGCTGCTATTGAGTCATTAAAACTTGTGGAAAGGCTACATTGCATTTTAGATGTTTGTGATAAACTTGGCACATGTAAATTTTTATCTAGCCTTATTTTCTCATATAGCTTTATAATGAACTCTTCAACAAGTAAGAAAAACTAAAAAACACTATGGGAGATTACCATCCTGCACAGTATTGGTGTCATAGGATTTGAGGCAAAAAATCACCTGGTATACTTTAAGCACATGAAATTACATCACTTAAGGTATATACTTGGTGAAAAATTTTCAAGCCATTTCTTTTGACATGCAAATATTTTACATAACTGAACTTCAGTATACCATAACAGAAAGGAATTAAATTGTCTAAAACCAAAATGGAGAAAGAGACATTAAATTCTAAATATTTCAATCCAGATTGTTTATTCTCTATATTCCCCCCAAACAGGAACATAGGCTCTTAGCTAACTAATAAAATCAACATTAGAGCTTTTACATAAACATGAAAGCCAAAATCCTTCAATATATATGGGAAAAAAACAAACAAACATATAAGAAACCTTCTATATCCATGAATATTACCTGAGAAAAATAATTTGGTGTTCATGTTTCTGTATTCTAATTTGTTTCTACGTGATTTAAACACTTTATTTTATTTTATTTTATTTTATTTTATTTTATTTTAATAAAACACAGAATTCTGGAACTTAACTTTTCTCAAACATTTATTATTATTTCTTTTTTTTATTAATTAATTTATTTTTTATTAATTAATTTTTGTTACAGATGTTTCTCCTTTTTCCCCCACTGATTTCCCCTCCCTCTCCCTCCCTGACCTGTCCCCAGTTTGTTGTCTATGTCCACTGTTCATGCATACATGCATATATTATTTCTTAATTTTACTAATGAGCAAACTGAAGAAAAGGGAGGTAAAGGAAGATGATCAAAAAGGTAAGTTGCTTTAGTTCATCTATTTTTTTTTTTTTTTTTTTTGCTTAGATTGATGTAGAGTTGACAAGAATGGAAAATACAGTATTGGAGACCTCAAAGTTAAACTATCATTAGTATTTTCTTTTGAAATTGTCTCTAATTTGGCTTGCCTATTAATGTCTAAATCAGTGGATTTGCAATTAAACCCTGATATCTCTCTAATATGTATATTCAAACTAAATGAAAGGCACTTATTCAACTCTCTAGCATATTTCAGGTCTTCAAAGAAAGTAATTTGCACTTCATACAATCCCCATGATACAAAGTGCAAATTTAAGAACTGTTAGTCTTTATTAAATTCCTTTTTCAAATATTTGTATAGGACTTTACAACTTACAAACCAATTTCATATCCATTATCATCATTAGACTTTTCTCTACCTAATAATGTTGAATTGGCAGTAAATCAGGAAACTAAGGCTCATAATTTAAGATCTGGCCAAAAATCATGCAAATATTAAATGGCAGATTCAAGACAAGATTCACAACCAGATTTTCTGTATACAAATATAGTTCTTCCCATCTTCAGGTATTCCACAGTAAAGATCAAGTGAATCCTATTATATTGACCCCTGGTAACAGCTGACGAGTCACTCTTTCTCTAAACCTATATTGCCCTGTTCCCATGGATTTTCCAAGGTGGAATACATTAAATGCAAAGATATAGCTAGACTCAACTATCCAGAAATGTGGAATGAGTCATCTTAATTTTCTTCCTCAAGCCATGTTAACTATTTTTTTCTTAGAGCTGTATTTCTCTGCCTCTTCATAATAGTTCTGCATTTTTTTTCATGTTCAATTTTACATGTTAAATAAATGTCAGGTTGTGAAAACTTTGTGGATAGCTTGAGGTCTACTCATTTTGGTATCATTAACTTTTCTCTCAACGTTTTAATGCATGTTGGTCAACACAGGAAAATGTCAAGAACTCCAAATAAGCCCATAGTGTAAAGTTAATAATAACTGATGGCATTAATACTATACTTTTACATATATTTTCACTATCAATAAAAATATTTCTAAAAATAATATCAATAAAGTAAGAAATCTTACCTAGACCATGTCTATGTGTTGACATCGGTGGTAAAACAGTCCAAGTCTTAGTTTTGGGATTGTAACACTCAACAGTGTTCAGTGTCTTTAAGCCATCTCGACCTCCAATTACAAACAGCTTGTCATCTATAACAGCCACACCAAACTGCAATCTCCGGCCATTCATCATCCCAGCCTGGATCCACAAATTTGTTCTGAGGTTATATTTCTCTATGGTTGTAGCTCCTAATAAAACATAAAATCATATAGTCATCATTCTCTACTACTACATAAACCTGCCCAAGTTGTACAAATTATTGGTGGCATAAATTTAGGATGTGAAAACACTCTTGTCACATTCGATTTTCTTAAAGAAAAGGGGTCAGAAAAACAAAGGAAGTAGTAATTTAACTACTACTATATTTTCTCTACTTGATGTATACTAATGATCAAAACAGACACAAATGTTCAGCTTGTTTGACTTACATAATGATCTCATGCTAAACTATCAATTCAATAGAATTTTGGAGCATAACACAGTTCTCTCAGATTTTACAACTTCCCTGTATTACTGTTTGCCATTAAATAAATATAACATGATCCTAGCCTAAAAAAAATTATCAAAGCTTTTTTTAAATACCTAAGCTATTATATGTAATTCTGAGAGTGAAGAGTTAATTAAATAAGTTCTTTACCTTGATTCTCTTTAAATTTGTCTCTGTGTTAAAAAACAGATTGTTGTAGAAGTCAATTAAAAAAATGTTTTTATTGACCTCAGAGAGAGAAGAAAGAGGTAGAGAGAAAGAGAAACATTGGTTGGCTGCTTCCTAAAACCCCCTGCTGGGGATTGAGCCTGAAACCTGGGCATGTGCCCTGACCAGAAATCAAACGAGTGACCTCCTGGTAGATGGGACAACTTTCAACCAACTGAGCCACACAGGCTGGGCATAAAAGTCAATTTGAAGACATGCAAACAAATGTCAGTTAGGATTTTTTTTTTATCTTTTCTAATATGCATTTGGAGAATAGCTCAATAGAATTTAGAGACATAAAATGATCTGTCTTTATCAATCATGTTATAATCTTTAAATGAAATAGTTCATCTTTTCTAAAAGATGTTTATGTATAAATTTAAGAAATATAATAGGTCTTACTAATAAAATTAATATTGAAAAAAGAAATAAGCTAAATTGTTAATGAAACATGTTTTAACAGCTTCAGTTAAATATTTCAAATTAAAAATCTCTTTCTTGAATAACTTCACAAGTGTTTATAACATAAAATATAAGCTAAGAAACACTGATCTTGTTTCAGTGTTTAATCTTAATGTTTAGACTTACATCTACCAATGTTTCATCTTCAATGATTAATATCCCTCAAAGGGAGTCAAATGTTTGCATACTTTCATTTAATGCACTTAAAAAATCTATTTTACTTGTAATGAAATAAAAGTTTTAAACTAGAAAAAACATTCCTTAGAGGATTTATTTATTCTTTTGTGCTTAACCAGCAATGAACTAAACAAGTATAAACAACTTTGTTAAAGTTTTGCTAATTGAAGCAAGAATTTTTTTCATTTATGCTTAATTTTTATTTAAAGAAAACAAAGCAGTAATAATATACAGAGTTAGAAACATTAAATGTGTCTTTTGATGTTAATAATATGACCTAATTTTTATACAACGGAATATGAAGTATTATAAAAGTATTACTATGTTGAGAATAAAAATAAATTGTAATGTTAATAAGTCATTTGATATTATTTAGTAACATAAAATATAGTATTTAAAAATATATAGTATACGTACAAATTAAAATTCAAGGTGAACTTAATTATTGGATAATTTCAAGGTCATTTGAATTCTCAAAATTTGATAGTATTGGGATTTCATAAATGCTTAACTAAAAATTGAGAGTTATACATAAGTACCCTTCTCTTATGACTGACTCTTGACAAACGATGGCAAAAGGAACAGTGTAATCTAAGTCTACTAACTCAGTTCTATGAAACCCATATTTTCAGGTATGGGTAGACAAAGAAGTATTTGAAAAACTGCAGTTTCCTTAATCTCTAAAACCTTCATCAAAATCTTTGCAGATAATTTTAGGTTCAGTCATCCTTCTAAGAGGAAATAGTTGAAAATGTGTAAAGTTAAAGGCTTCTGAGCAACCAAAGGTGCTTTTATTTAAAGGACAAAGTGGGGATCAATTTGAGTTTCAACATCTTATTCAAACTATCTAGATACATCTTAAATCTCAACACATGGCAGACTTTTTAATTTTAGTATTTTTCCTCTAACTGCAGTCTTCAGAGATGATCTATGCATGTTATTTTAAAGTTACCACCTTAGAAATAGGTCAGCATCCCTGTCTTCATTTTCTTTTTTGGTACGTGCCCCTAGTGGGAACCGAACCCAGGACTCTCTCTCTGGTCCACAGACCAGTGCTCCAACTGCTGAGCCAAACTGACCAGGGCTTCATTTTCAAATTAGAAGTTGTATTAATTCCTTTATAAAAATTATCTCAAACTTAGTGTCTTAAAAGACACACATTTGGCCTGGCGGTGTTGCTCAGTGGTTGAGCGCCAACCCATGCACCAAGAGTTTGCCATTTCATTTCCCGGTCAGGGCCCAGGCCCAGGTTGTGGGCCAATCTTCAGTGGAAGGCATGCAGAATGCAGCCACCTGATGTTCTTTCTCACTGATGTCCCTGTCTCTCTCTCTCCCTTCCTCTCTCGCTAAAAAATCAATAAAAGAAAAGGAAAATCACATATACATTTATTATTTTGCAGTTCAGTCCTAAAATCAAGGTGCTGACAAAGCTTTCATTTTTTACAGGGGACCACAGGGGAGAGGAGATTTTCTTGAATTTCCGTTTTCCATAGGCCACCACATGCCCCATGACCCCCTTCTTCCATCTTTAGCGCCAGCAACGTTACATCTTTCTTACATTGATTCTTGTGTTTACATTGGGCTCACCCCAATTTAATCTGAGTTAATGACATATGATCTGATTTAATGTAGAATAGTATGTTTAAGGTCAGCTAATTAACATCAATTCCCTTCCCAGCCTTAACACCATCCTCTCCTACCCCTTCACATCTACATAAGTACATGAACTAACCTATTCATAGATTCAGGGGATTCGGATGTAGACTTCCTTGGGGTGCTATTATTCTGCTAACTCTAGAAGCCAAGGCTTATTTTCACTCTACTCTTTAATTTTGTTTAGTTACCAAAAGTGTAGTAATGGGAAAACAAAGTAAGATCTCTTGATTTATAGAGCTTACTTATAGTATGTACCTAATTTTAATGGTTACACAGTTAAGAATATGCTTTTTTCCCTAATAAAAGCTATTAATAATAATGCTTTCAAGATATTTTCTTACCAACATACTTCACTGGTTGCCTGTATAAATGTCTCAATTCATTATTATTATTTTTTAAAACTTATCCATTTGTGAGCTCTGTTATGTCCTTTGCTTATAAGAGTGTGTGTATCCCTTGGTGGTGCCCTGAGGAAGAAGACAAAGCCATTCTTTCTGAGAAATGTTACCCTGTGTTGTTCCTTAAGGTAAAGGAAATACTTGTCATTACATAAGTTAAAAACAGAATATGAATAGAAGTGGACTGCTATGGTGGCATGTAATAAGTCTGAAAGAGATTAAAAAGGAAAATTTACTTTAAGACATAGTTACTTTAGGCTTAAACTGTTACTAAAACCATCACTAGTTATCTTAGATGACTACAGTGTGTAGGCATAACTTTAAACATGCGACTGCAGGCACAATAGAGTCCTCACAACTTCCATAAACTGGAGCATGTCCACTCTGAGATTCCAAACAATACGTCTAAGCAACTGATTTAAAATAGCTTGGCTCCTTAAACAGGTACAATGAGCACATCTGTCTGCAGCAGACTATAATCAGGATTGGTTCGATCCCTATTATTTTGCATCTTAAATTGTAGATCAAAGTGTTAAAGTATTTGGAAGGTTGCATAGACTCTTATAGGGAATTTTGCTGCTGTTCTGTAAGATATCACTTTATGCAGTAACAACATTATTTTATAAACTGTATAGTATAATTTAATAAAATCTGAAGCAAATTGTAAAACTTCCTAACTTAAAGTAATTATTTAATTAAAAGATGAATCTTATAATGTAAAATAAAAAGACAAGTATTTTTCAGACTATATTTATGACTTCTGTACACTTTCATACAGAAGTCATAAATATATACTTCTAAAATATTTCATACTCCATGATTTATTTATCACAGTCTACATATATACCAGATAGGAGCTAGGTGCTAGCATGCATAGTAATATAAACTTTTGATGATACTTTAGTTGAAATAACTAATGAAATAATCATTTACTATAAAAAAAAAAAAAGTTATAACATCAAAGGAAATCAGGCCACATGTTTATCAGGATTACTTAGCGTATCATATATGTCTTTTATTGAAATGTGGTTGTTAAATAAATATTTAGTAATGGTATTTAGAGTAGAGTTTTAAAATAAAATATTAATGTTGGTGTATTGAACTATCAGAAAGAGAAACTAAGAGGAAAATCCCATTTATTACTGCAACAACAATAAAAACATAAGGCACCTAGGAATACATTTTACCAAGGAAGTAACAGAACTGTAATCATAAAACTATAGGATATTGAAGAAAGAAATTGAGAAAGATATAAACAAGTGGAAGCATATATTGTGTTCATGGATTGGAGGAACTAACATCATTAAACTGTCTATACTACCCAAAGCAATCTACAGATTCAACAAATTCCTATTAAAACACCAATGGCATATATCACCGATCTAGAACAAATATTTCAAAAATGTATATGAAATAAAAAAGGACTCCAAATAGCCTCAGCAATCTTGAGAAGACAAACAAAGTTGGAGTTATCACACTACCTAACATCAAATTACCATTGTAATCGAAACAGCCTGATACTAGGACGAGAATAGGCATATAGACAATGGAACAGACAGAGAGTCCAGAAGTCAACCCACACCTATATGGTCAATTGATATTTGACAAAGGAGATAAGAACATAAAATGGAGTAAAGACAGTCTCTTCAATAAATAGTATTGGAAAATTGGACAATTATATGCAAAAAAAAAAAAATGAAACTAGATAACCAACCTATACAAGAATAAACTCAAAATGGATAAGACTTAAATGTAAGTCACAAAACCATAAAAATCCTAGAAGAAAACTTAGGCAGAAAAT